GGAGCATTTGTGTCCGTACTATGACGATGAGGAGTCTGGTCTGGATTGCGCGTCTCTCATATTAGCGACGCCACCTCAAACTATCCAGTCACCCACCTCCTGCTCAACGTCCACAACTTCCTCAATGTGGGTAATAGACGAACGGGATATCGATCAGACGCCTCTAAATCAGCAACAGGACTCAAGTGAGGATGAGTTACCTATCGAACTGCCAGACGAAACAATCGATCGACTCACACAAGAATCAGACAGAGAGGAGCACAGCCGTATGAATAACAGTTGCCCCGAAGAACGTCGTCTCACCGAGGAACGCGTGGCGAGCTTGGGAGACTCTCACCTGGATGAGTCGGTCAACACATGGCTCTCCAAGTCCAGTGTTTCCAGCGACATGTCTGATTCGCCCTCGGTTGCGTCGCTCCAATATTTGGGCAATGCAGAGGTCGGCTTCTCGGAAGAAGTCTATGAGAACCCGTGGGCCGAAGGTTAGCGACTATGATTATCGGGAGTTGACAACTTGATGGCGGACCTGTATGCACTATCTCAAGGGAACATCTGTTGATTAGGTTACGATCAATGCCTCTCAATTAGGTTATTTGTTTGGTAAAAGGACTATCGTATAATTGAAAAACATCTGTGACTCTTTTAGTGTTTCGCAATATTTAAAATCGTCATTGTCGCCGGGCAAAAGTCCTCGTTTAGTTGATCAACTTCGAAGGTACGAACGATTTCAACTTCGCAAGTCTTTGCAACTTCCAGGTTCCCCACGATAGCCCGCGGAACCCACGGCTTTAGCGGTCTTAGCCGCTGACCGGTCGATATTGAGGTCATTTGACAGGGAACAGAATACGACGCTAGGGGGTGGTGATCTCCCAATACGAGAAATCCCCGCCTATTTAGAGAGGCCCACAAATGGCTATCCCGCGCTCGCATTGTTCGGGAGGGAGATTGGCGTAGGATCGTCCCCCAAGTTGACAGTGCAGAAGATCTAAAAGCATAGGAGTGGAAAGATGAATTGGCCTCTGCATCTTCACGTTCCATTTCGGCAACGTTGAGGTGGCAGGGATCTTACCTGGACGCATCTTCGAAGATGCGTCTCGTCACTCGTTTTACCGCAGCAGCAGCATACTGCCTGGCTCTGGTCACCTCTCACGCAGTGCCGAAAACATACTTCGTCGAGATCTCCAAAGATGGAACAATCGATGGCTTGGGTGTGAGTCCCGAAACTCTCGTTGAAAGAGCTGCCGAGCTTTCAGTGCCGTTGAAAGTACGCTTCGAATACCAAGATAAGAGCGTCTTCTACGGCGCATCGGTTTCCCTCGACGACGATGCCGACGCCGAGAAATTGCGGACTCTTCCTGGTGTCGAGAATGTGGTCCCGGTACAACAAGTGGCGCACCCGTACCGGCTTCCGGAGAACGGCTCCCCGATCGGCAGCGCAAACATCGGATCTGCGGCATCCACCAATGGCGAAAGCAACTTTCGACCGAGATCTGTTTTGCCTCGAGCGTCTGATGTTGACTGGAACAGCCCGCATGTAATGACGGGGGTCGACCGCGTCCATGCGAAGGGCATCCTTGGAGAGGGCATTCGCATCTCTGTTATTGACACCGGAATCGACTGGAGGCACCCTGCTCTGGGCGGCTGCTTTGGAAAGGGATGCAAAATTGAGTTTGGCTCTGATCTGGTGGGCGACGGATATGGAGGAGATTCTGGGTACACCATGATCCCCGGACCTGATCCAAGACCTGGCTGTTTTGATGGTTTCCACGGTACTCACGTCGCTGGCATCATTGGCATGGACGTACCCTCGAACTCTTCGACGTTTGCTGGCCTGGTGGGAGTTGCTCCCAAGGCTACGTTGGGCATGTACCGCGTTTTCGGCTGTTCCGGCTATACGTCGGACGACGCCATCGTCGCCGCGATGCAAAAGTCCGTTGAAGATGGCGCAGACGTCGTGAGCATCTCCATTGGTGGATTCGGCACCTGGTCTGGCTATCCTGGATCACCTCTTTCGGCCGCGGCTGCAGCTCTGAAGGCTAAGGGTGTTGCGGTCATCGCTGCCGGTGGAAACTCTGGCACTATTGGAATGTTTTCCATCAACATTCCCGGAGGATCAGACGATGCTCTCGGCGTTGCGTCGGTGGAGAACTCCAAGTTCCCAACATACCCGATCAAGGACTCCAACGGCGCCGAATTTCGGTACGGAGCTCTTCATCCTTTCCCGGAAGGAGAGTATCCCGTAGCTTGGGCAGGAAGAAACACCACAGGCTACAACTTTGGCTGCTCGGCATCCGACTATCCTCCTGCTAGTAGCTTATCTGAGCCGATCTCCGACTACGTCCTGGTAGTGAAGAGAGGTTACTCTTGCTCGCCAACCCAAGTCCAGCAACATGCCTCTGCTGCCAACTACACACGGGTACTTACTTACCCAGACCCGACTGTCGATGATATCTTCATCGAAGGCCACGCCGTTCCAACACCATCTCTGACCGCTGATGGATACATCTATCCTATGGGTAGCACTATCGATGACACTCTGTCAAATGCTTCCAAGAATCCCGGAGCTTACAAGCTGCTCGTTTCGTCCCAGACACCCTTGCTGGTAGACCAGCCTGGTGGAGGATCCCCCAATAACTTCAGCAGCGTCGGTATGTTGCGTTCCCTGTAAAGTGTCACATAGAACCGGACTGACTTCTCCGATATCAGGACCCAACGCGGATTTCGCCTTCAAGCCTGAAATTGCTGCTCCGGGTGGCATGATTCTCGCAACGTTCCCTCTCATGGAGAACAGCGGCGGTTTCGGTATCATCAGCGGCACATCTATGGCGACTCCGTACACGAGCGGCGTATACGCATTGATCAAATCCCAACACCCTTCATTGTCGATAGACGAGATCTTTGAGTTGATGCAGACTACGGCGAAGCAAGTCAAGAGGGCGAACGCCGATGCTGTGGCATCCACCGTTCAACAAGGAGCGGGCTTGATCCAGGCCTACGATGCTATTTTCTCCAAATCTGTCATCCAACCCGGAGAATTCAAGATGATCGATGTTCGAGAGGCTACATTCAGCATCGACAACCCATCGGAAAGTGATGTCACATATAGCTTCTCAAACAAGCCCGCCAGCGGGGCCGCGTCATTCTCAGCTGGTGCCGGTCCGACCGCCGAAGTCGGATTCCTCTCTGAGCCATTCTCAGCTGAAGTCAAGTTCGCTGGAGGGGATCAAGTCACCATCCCTGCAGGAGAAACTCAGAACGTGACCTTCCAGGTTACTTTGCCAGCTGACATGGACGCCAGTCTGATCCCAATATTCTCTGGCTTCATCGGTATCACTTCATCTATCAACGAGAGCTTCACGATTCCCTACATGGGACCGGCCTACAACTACAGCAGCGCGCCGGTCGTCGGCCTGAAACCCCTGACGGACGAGCAACGAGCCAATGCCTTGACCACAGCCCGCGACCCCTTCTCTGCCCCTCAGGTCTTCGGGAATAGTGACAAGAAGGACCTTGGAAACTATCGATCCTTCAACTTCCAGTACCCGGACTATCCTGTGGCGTACTTCACCTCCCTCCAACCTTTGCGCAAGTTCCGTTTCGATATTGTCCGCGCCAGCACCAACTTTACCCCAACTTGGTATGGTTTCGATCCCGATTTCAAACTGGACAACTTCACAGAGACGGCGATGGTAGAGAATGGTACAGTGGCAGGTGTCCCTATCCTCGGCTCAATTCAAATCCAGGAGGGGTGGCTTCCGAGGACCAACTATCAGTCTAGTTGGTCTTACAGTATCCTTGACATCACGGCTTCGAGAGGGCTAGGATTGAAGAAGGGTTCTTATCGTATTCTCCTGAGATGGCTGAAGTTCTTCAAGGATGAGGAGGATCCCGCGTCCTGGGAGAGTTGGATGAGTGGTGTCGTTGATGTCTTGGAGGACACTTTCGAGCCGACTCCGCCTTAGGTCATGGATCAAGGAACACAAATAATTGATAGGCATGATATTGCCACCAAAGTCTTGAAATTGCCCTACTGAGTTGACGGTGAATTATTTCTTCCAGCGGGGGTCATGATGGTCCTAAAATCGCCCATATTTAGACGAAACTAAGGCACGTTTTGTTACATCCCGACCAACCTAAGAAATGCACCAAGTTCCCGGAATGATCATTCGAAGGATCCGCACGCGAAAGACAGTCAAGGTGTGGCTGAAATAAGCCGCCACAGACTGCGGCAGACGGACGTAAGCGGTCTTATGATGCTGAGCGCGCCTCGACATATCCGCTTACGGCCGAAAACGGCGGATGACATATTTTCTTCAACTCCTCAGGAGACGACGTCTCTTACCTGCTGTGAATATTACAAACAACAAGATAAGTTACCGTCTATTTGCAGGAATCTCTGCCCAATTCTTTACGGCCGAGAAAGAGTATCATCATCACTCATGGAGCGACAACACCGTAAGCGTCGGAGGCCTGCGCTCTCGTGCCTGGAATGCCGTCGGCGCAAGATCAAGTGCGATCGCAACGACCCCTGCACGCACTGCGTCTCTTCAAAACTTCAATGCACCTACAAAACTTACAGAACCGATACGGAGACTCGGGATTCGACCCCTCGGAGCGACGCGGGCCGCGCGCTATCAAACCAGGCTTTGCGCCCAGCATCGCCTGCAGTAGCAGGACAAGGACCGCCGCCCAATCTCGGCCGATCATTCCAAGATCTTGCGGATACCGCTTCCCCTCAGACAATCCGTGCGGATGAGAGACGTATCAGAACCTCGAATGCCGTGGGACATCACAACATATCCCCTCAGAACCGTAGTTCCGAAGCAGAGCCAGATCTGCAAGATCTAGTGAGACGATTACAAAGACTTGAGCAAGACTCCACAGGAACGAATAGCCTCGGGTCGCCTGGACTGGCACGGAATGTACTGTCCAGTCATAGCGGGCCTCAAGACTCCCAGGTTGTTCTAAAGAAGTCGAGACTTTGGAGATGGAGCGACTGGATGGGAGAAGCTGAAGAGGTAGGGCAGTGTTAATCATCGATCCTAGTACTATGTTAATCTGACCCCATCACCAGTTTGAGCCAGTGTTGGCCTGGTTCTCAGCATACACCGAGGCCAAGGACCCCGCCAAAGAACCACCTTTTCAAAATGCCGCAACCCAAGTCCTTGCTGTGGAAACCGACAGTTTGTATCAAAATTGCAAGACTCTGGCGAAAAGGCTCAAGGTTTGCCGTCCTACCAGAAGCATGTCAGGCCTATCACCCAGCTTGATGCCTCCGTCTCGAGAAGTTGCCGACGCAATGGTCGATGCCTACCTCAATTCATTTGAGTTGGTGCATCGGATTTTACACATACCTACCTTTTGGACCGAGTACCACGAGTTCTGGGATCATCCGGAAACCACAACTATGGATATCCGTCTGAAAATACTGCTCGTCATCGGCATGGGTTCAAGCCTGTCGGAACATGGAAATGTCACGCTCCGGCAAACGGCAACCCATTGGGTCTACGCGGCTCAAAACTGGCTGTCTGGGCCTTTGGAGAAAGACAGACTTGGCATAACAGGTCTTCAAGTCCATTGTCTCACGATGCTCGCGCGCCAAATATTCTCGGTCGGCGGAGATCTGATATGGATGTCCATGGGGTCACTCATTCACCGAGCTATGCAGATTGGCCTGCACCGAGACCCCAAGCATTTGCCGAAAATGTCGTTTCTTCAGGCGGAGCTACGAAGAAGATTGTGGGCAACCATTCTCGAGCTGGTTGTACAGTCATCTTTGGATTCCGCTATGCCCCCAAGACTATCGTTTAGTGAGTTCGATACAGAGGCCCCATCGAATATCAATGACGATGAGATGGACGAGTCAACCGACATAGTTGAGCCCCATCCGCGACGTGTGTTCACGAATACCTCACTTCAACTACTGCTACTAGACAGTCTTCCAACCCGCTTGAAGATTCTTCAATTACTGAACGATCTACACTCAGAACTCTCTTACACAGATGCCCTTGCCCTTAGCGACGAGATCACCACGGCTTGTAGAGAAAACATGGCGTTTGGTAAACGATCTGAGGCCCGAGAGATAACCACTTTCCATCGAAATCTCGTAGACTACTTGGTACGGCGCTTCATGTTACCCCTGCACTGTCCTTTCGCCAGCAAAGCGCGGTCGAACCCCTTATTCCACTACTCGATTAGAGCCAGCCTAGACGCTTCTATGGCAATCATTTCTCCGGAACCTGACGATAATTTCTCTCGGCTGACGGCGCTGTCTGGTGGTCTTTTCAGGGAAGGATTTAGGTATGCCATAGCGACTATTAGTTTGGAATTCCTTGCCGTGGCGAAATCGCAGCAGGTGGATGGGACCATTCATCGAGACGATCGTTACAGAGCGCTCCTGAAGAGTTCGGTCAAAGACTTGATTGAGATGTCAGCTGAGAGAATTCGACAAGGAGATACTAATATCAAAGGCCATATGTTTCTCAGCATGATTGTAGCTCAAGTCGAAGCAATGGAGGAGAGTCACTCTGGGGAACACATGATCGCACAGTCTGCGAAGAACAGCCTTGACTTCTGTAACTCTGTACTCCAGAGAAGACTAGAAAGTGTTCCATCGCCATGGAGCACTGATACATCCACGATGGCAGCGGATCGTGAGGGACAGGAAGCGTTCGCGATAGACTGGGCCTTTGATTTCTTTCTACCAGACACAGACTTTGCTGCTTCTTAGGACCAATTTCAAACTTCATATCCTTGAGAAAGTAATTGACAAAAGACCTCGAGAACCTCCTATAATGACCAGTGACTTCAACAGCTACGTTTTGCTTGTGACGATGGGGAAGCTGGCACGTAGATGAAAGATTCAGCCGCCGGCTTTAATCTGTCATCTTAATGGGTTAGGTTACGTAGGGACAGCTTTTGCTCAAGCTTCCCTCTCTTTATTGGTTTGAGCTTGATGCTATCTATGGCTGCCTGTTCCGTACGGTCTTAGACGGCGTCAGGCGGCCTTGAGCGGAGATATGTACGGCCAGGCGGACAAAACTAAACAACTCTCTCACGAAAGCACTCACATCTCAGATCATTATTTAAACACGCATCAAAAGTGATCAATCTCGCATTAAGTACCCTTCTCCCGCATTGCATTCCTAATCAAAATCACATCGCATCACGATACATCTTCACCATTTACCCGTTTCTTAATTTTTACCAAGCATGGCACCCATGAGAATCCTCATCAGCGGCGGCGGTGTCGCCGGAAACTCCCTGGCATTCTGGCTTTCCAAGCTTGGCCATGACATCACAGTGGTTGAGTGGTTCCCGACTTTGCGGGCAACCGGTCTTCAGCTGGACCTCCGCGGCCACGGTATTGAAGTCATCAAGCGGATGGGTCTTGAACAGGCCTTTCGCGCCAAGTCAGCTCCTGAGCAGGGCCTGCAGATAGTCGACAGCTCCGGAAGGCGCCGCGCGTACTTCCCAGCCAACACGTCCGGCAAAGGACTTCAAAGCTTCACAACTGAATACGAGATTATGAGAGGCGATCTGTGCCGCATCATCTACGACGCCACCAAGAACCGAGCCAAGTACGTCTTTGGCACTTCCGTTGAGAAACTCGAGCAGATGGGCGACGGAGTAGAAGTGCTCTTCAGCAACGGGAAGACAGACACCTTCGACCTTTTGGTGGGTGCCGATGGGCAAGGCTCTCGTACCCGCAAGATGATGTTGGGGGCGAAGCAAACAGATGGCTTCGAGCCACTCGGAGGCTCCTACGCTGGGTACTTCACTGTTTCTAAGCCAATGCAGGAGGGGGAGGGGTACAATGCCACGGCTTACATCGGCACCAACAATCGCACCATCATGACCCGAAGACATAGCCCCGACCAGACACAGATCTATCTCATGTGCAGAACTGATTCGGAGGAGATCAAGAATGCTCGGCGGGAGGGACTTGAGAAACAGAAGGAAGCGATGGCAAGGGTCTTTGATGGTGCCGGATGGGAGACAAAGGACATCCTTGAGAGAATGATGAAGTCGACCGACTTTTACTGCGAACATATCGGCCTCGTCAAGATGAATGGTTGGTCGAAGGGCAGCGTTACTCTTGTTGGAGACGCAGCATACTGCCCTTCAGTGATGACCGGGATGGGCACAACATCGGCTGTTGTTGGCGCGTACGTCTTGGCTGGGGAGATCGGCAAACATTGCGGTGATAAGGACTTTAAGGACGGTCTTGGAAAGGCTCTTAGTGCCTACGAACAGAAGTTTCGGCCTTTCATGGATCAGGTACAGCATGGCATCTCAGGCGATGCTTTCATCTGGAAGATCTGGCCCACGACACCATTCGGAATCGGCATTCTGAACTTCCTTCTGGGGTTGGTCTCATTGCTGAGACTTAATGTGCTTGGGGAGTGGCTGTTGAAGGAGAATGTGAAGTGGGAACTGCCAGAGTATGAAGAAATGGGCTCGATGCGCCCTTAGATAGCCTGGCCTGGCAAGTTCAACCAACCCACAGTACTGGAGAAAGAGGCTTTTACTTCATTCGAGTTTTGGATTATGTAGACTATAGGAAGAATACAAATGTTGTCTCAGAAAGTGTTGTCAATCATCGAGGGGACTTGTGTGTATCGCAACATAGCGAAGAACTTGGTTTTATATGTATGAAGGTGGTACCTAGCCACGCGAAAGTATGTACATAGAATATGATTCCGTCACCTGGACCCGTACACAAACATCTAGTTGTTGAAGGTGTGCGAATGGATGTTGATGGTGGTGACCTTGAAGGTCTTGCTGTCGGAAGTTGTCAGGCCAGTAGAGTCAGCTTCGTTGAGGCCAAGGGTGCCCTTGAAGGTGGTATCGGCGGCGTTCAGGATGATCGTCGTGTCGGTGTACTCTGTCAAGGATGTTAGAGGAGCTCTCACTGAACCTTTGAATATTTTATTGATGAAACTTACTGTGAGCAACAACAGTGCCGACGCAAGCATCGTCTTGGCATTCAACGGCAGTACCCCATCCCTGAGCCTGTCCGGAGCCTTTAATGTTGTTAGCATTCGCGCGGCGGATGGTAAAATGGACAGAACTTACTGGTCGAGAGTGTGGAGACAACCTTGCCGTTGAGAGAGACGGTCTGGTCGTACTTTCCGGTGCTGTCGTTGTACTTGTCTGTTTCAGAACTCGTTAGAAGATGCGGGTGGCCTTGGACAAGAGAGAATAACTTACAGTGCATGGTGATCTTGTCACCAGCAGACGCAGGGACCTGCTTGCCACCAAGCTGCTCTCCTATCGCAAGTATTAGTATTCCAACTCTATTGTCTACCTTTTGGCGGCTTACCTTGGAGGGTGCTGGCCCAGGTGCACCATTGACCGGCCTTGGCACCGCAGTTGGCGGCGGGGTCGCTGAAGGAGACAGCCAGAGCCTGGATCAGATCGCCACCGCTGGTACCCATACCGGGCCACAGGGCAAGACGGTCCTTCTGGGGGCTGGGAACAGGAGGGAGAACGAGAGTGGTGTTGGCCTCCCGAATCCAGCTCTGGGTCGGGCCAAGAGAGAAGGCCGGGCCGAAGCCGACCTTGTCCTGAGCGCTCACGACATTGGCGCCGGCAGCGGCGAGAAGAGCGGCGGCAGTGGAGGTGCGCATGTTGATGATTGTCGGAACGAATGTGACAGGGATAGGGATAAAAAGACAGAACCAAAAGAGCGGAATCTGGGGAAAAGAAGGATGACAAGGGGGGTATCTAGCGGCTTGGTAATGGGACAATTCAGACGAAAAGGGCTTCGATTGAGCTTGGCAACGATCTCGGTCTTTATACGATGAATACCAAGTTGTTGATTCGGGGGGTTCTAGATCATTTCGATTCTGGATGATCGGCAACGATCCCCGTGCAGGGCCACAGCGATCCCACCTTCTCCTCACCAATTTGAATCCCACCTTATGGTTATGAGCATGAAACGATCCAGTGGCGGACAAATAATTTCCGCTACAACGGACAAACAACGTCGCGCCAGGTCCCACACAACCTGGTTGAAGGAAGAATTAAGAACAGAGGAGCTGCCCTTTCCCGCTAACTTGAACCCCGTCCACAGGGGTCTTGCTAGCTGCTGACCATCAGCAAGCCATCGTATAAATGCGGCCTCAAAGCCGGTTGGAGGACATACAAGAGCCACAGCTCTCTAAGTCCAAGGACGGTGACAATGGCATGATGGCCCCGTACCGAAATCCTGTTCAGGAAAGAGTCCAAACCGGCGCGGATACGAGAATTCGAGAGAGTGCCAAAGGGTTGGGTATCGCGACATTGAAAGTGGAGTTGAACCGTTTCACGGATGCCCGCCTTGGCCCGAATTGATATCGGCGGGCCCTCCCTGTCCGGAGCTATGATAAAAGAATGGAACCCCGGAGCCGCATCTAGATTGATATCCCCACTAAGACAATTCAAGCCCGTCGCTTAGAGCTCGTTCGGCATTCAACAGCCGCTCTAGCTGTGTTTTGATTGCCCTACAAAAGCAGAAGGTCATTCCTGCTGTTATTAGGGGGCCAGCAGGGCGAGAGTTGCCAACAAAGCGGAGGCGAGGCAATCTTGACTTCACGCAACTTAGTCAAACGGTCTTCAACACGCGCACAGTGCTGGGAATTGGATCTCAGGCATTTACGACTCGATTAATTAAACGACAAGAATTCTTTAACTACGATTTGGCGATACCGAGATTACTGCGGTTAACAGGTTCCGATCCGGTGGTGCGACCTACCTCAATCGTCAAGAAGTTCAGGAAGACTTTGGTCTTCCAACGCCCGAGTCTGCAGATTGAGAGTCCAGTGGTCCTTTCGTGAATCCGTGATCTGTCTTGGTTGGGATGCCAACGTCGCGTTTGAAGCGTCGTAACCATTCTAGGTTGTCTGCCGATGTTTGATTCCAAGGATCACCACTAAAAGAGGTTAGCAAGAGCATGCAGAGAGTCATCCCCCGAGGGGTCTTGTACAACTTACTCTTCAAAGACAATGAAGCGAGCTTGATGCTGTAGCTCCTGATCTGTAGGGATGTGACAATTGGGGTTGTTCGGAGACATGGTTGCTGCAACCCAGCGTCGGAGCTCTAGAGCTAGCCACCGGTTGAAGTTGGCGTCATTGAAGAATGCATAGTTGGCCTTTACCCTAGACCAAGCTGGCGGAAGTTCCAGATCCATCTTGTCTTCCTTCACACCCGGGCTCACTCGCCCATCCCATGGTGCATTAGCGTTGACACCAGAAGGAGACGGCACGGCATCCGGCGAAGGCACCAGCGATGCAGGTGCATGGGAGTCCATGCCTAATGCCAGAGCTGCCGTTTCAAGATCACTAGTAAATGCAGGATCGAGATCTCCTAGTTGAGATAGGAAAGAGCTGCTTTCTTCATTCAACAGGTTGTTGAAGCGCCCGTCGTGAGTACTGAGCCCGATGCGGTCGGTAGTGTCTTGCGGAAGTGGCTCATTGAAAGACCCCCCTTGATCCCCAAAAGTTGACTGCAGTTGTTGAATCGGAGACTTGGCTGGGCTTTCGGGGAAAGGAAGTCGTTTTCTGGCCCTAAACCCCGTGAGCCAGTCCGTTGATGAGCCGATCAGGTTGATGAGCCAGTTGGCCACGAAGTCAGATGGCGATACTCCACATTCTTTGCCCATACCCAGCACGATCTTGGAGGCTTCGTTCTGCAACTCCAGATCAGTAATAACACCTAGGCCCAATACGCTTCGGGCATCAACAAAGCTCTGCAGTTGCGTCTCGCAAGGGCAATGCTCGAAAAGGCTCCGTTTGCCTTTGATCTAAGAGCTGTTAGCGGCAATGGAACTTCAGCTGCGAGATAGGTGAGCACTTACTTGAAGAACAGACATCATGCTTTCGGCGACAGATCTGATGGGTCCAAATCGAGCCTTCCGAGTGATTTCGTCTGACGATGTGATCAAGTCCCGCACCCACGACGCATGCAAAGCGCCAATATCGTATTCTAGAGACGACGATATCTCCGAGGCGAAGATAATACGGCAGGCTTCCAGTTGTATTTCCTTGTTGTCAGGCATGTTTCCGGTCTTGTCGTAGAACATTCGCAAAAAGTGGTTGAGCTCAAGAGTGAGCAATCCGAACGCATTTCTAGGAGACTCTGGAGGGGTTCCGCTGGCCTGATAGGGGAATGGAGAAAAGCGCTCGTACTCAATAAGGTCTGCCCAGTTAGTAACAGTTCTCTCAAATGTTCAGTCGACGGAAGCTTACATGGAGGCACCGAGTTTTCAACCATATCCAACACAGCTTCCTCGAAACCCCAGTCGCCCTTCCAATTTGCCATGTCCTGCCCCATCTTGAAGTGGTCTGCCAGGTGATCCGCTCTGAAAGACCAAGTGTCCAGAAGTGCACCGCAAAAGCCACAGCGAGACCTAATGTCTGGGACAGCGACTCTCCAAAGCTTGGCAGACCAGTCAAGCAGGCCGGCATTATGAACCAGGCGTAGATGTTGCTTCAAGTGATCCTTTCTGTTGAACGTGCGTTCCTGGCAGGCGGAGGGGTTATGATTGTTGATGTGTTCTTGACTTGGCTCAACCTCGCCACAGAAGACGCAACAGACCTGGCCTGTATCTGGGTTAACAGTCTTTGGTCCACCCGGCGAGCACACCCATTTCTCCAGAGGCATGTGAAGAGACTTTTCGTGCCGTTGCCAATCGTGCTTGGTTCTGAACGTCTCGGTACAAAAAGTACACTGATACTGGTTTCGGGGAAACGCAAGTGAAGTTCGCTTCGCGCGCCTTCGTTGTCGCACACGGCCTCGAGGCGCTGGACGAGGAACGGGTACAGAGTTTTTGGACTGGTTGGAGTACGCAGAGGCGAACGATCGTCCACTCGACGTTCCTACGCTGCTTGCGGAAGATCGATGCGACCTTGGTGGCTCGTCGTCAGTGTAGCTGGCGTTGTAACTCTCGTCTACATCTTAGGTCTGTATTAGCCACTATGACTTCATACAACAGAATACGTTGATGGCGATCTCCAAGTATATGATCTTACCTGAAGAATCCGCGTGGGTGGATGCAACAGCCCGCGCTATCGCAGTCACTGTGGCTGGCTCATGTTCCGGAGGAGAGTCAACCCAACGCTCTAGAGGGTTCAGACTCTGGTAACGGGGGCTCATTCTTGGTGCCGGTGTTCCTGGCCTTCTGGGTACATCGATTGGTCTTGTTGAGCTTCCAGAGTATGGCGAAATTGACCGCTGCCGGCTCTGCACCTTGCCACGGCGTCGGGCATTGATGAGCCAATTGGTGATTTGAGTCTTGCTAAGGCCCGTTTGATGTTGAAGAATCTTCTTCTCTTCGTCGTTTGGGTACGGATGGTGTGTATGAGAAGATAGCCACTGTCTTAAGATTCTAGTTGAGTCTCGAGAGAATCTTGTGCCAATCTTTGGTGGGGGCGGGGTAGAAGTGTTCGGTATCGTGACATTGTCAAAAGCGCCACTCGATCTCTTCGAAGCCTCTGGTGTGGGAGGTGCTTGCATGCCGGCCAATGCGGGACTGCTGCCATCAATGAGGTTACTGATTCCTTCTCCAGAAGCACCTGCTACGGCTTCTGTGAAGCTGCACTCGCACCCAAGCGACGCGCATGGTACACAGCGACCTTGGGACTCACGTTCTTGTGCTGTTTGACACTGATAGCCCCAGGTGATACAGTTGGAGCAGGATGCCAAAGGAGTGATCCACCCGCTTCCTAGACCGTCGCCAATGTAGTCCAGGGCTCCCTCAAAGTCGAATGGAGAGTTCGCGCCGCTGAAGGGCTCAAAAGATGTGAACTGGAGGGCATCATCGCAGGAAGAGATGTCACCGAGAGAAATGCTGGGTCGAGAGTCCTGACCGGGTGAGGTCAACGGAGGAATAATATTATGCCCTCCAGCTGCCGAAGACGTCTTGTCGTTGAATTGGTCCATTTCTCCGCCGTTGCTCTGAATCTGCCAGCACTCCACTGGCTGCGGCGGAAGGTCGCTGCGAAGATAAGACACCACCCCTGCCGATAGCCTTGAAAGTCGGATATCGATACTGATAGCGGGTGAACTTCAATGTAAGATAGGGCGTAAGGCGTGCTGCCCCGGAATAGTGGCACGACGTTGCCGAGAGATGTTTTGCACAAGTGAAAGAGGGAGGGCGGTGCCAAAAGTCAATCGGCCGCTTCATGCATTGACTCGACGCGGTGACCTAAAGACACAACGGCAGACACAACGGCCCCACCAAAGCGCTCTTTATGATTGGATGATGCATCAATGTGTCAAGTGCGCCTTACACTAGAACCGCGTCGATTGGCTCCATCGACCAAGCTTGTTAGTCAGTAGAACTTCAAGTCCGAAGCCGGCCGTGACCAAGAACGTTGCGTGGCACTACCTTGAGGCCCGATATCAATGATGGCTCGATCAATGCCCCGTAATTATTTTGATTTGTTACTATGAATGAACAGGAATGTTTCAGAGTGTTAAACTCGACTCATCGCCCAAGGGAATCTTGACTCTCAATTATTAACTCTTTGTCCGTTGAAGCAATCAAATGGTCGTAATACGGGCTCATCGTGCTCAGAATCCATGCCTCAACCAGCACATCTTAGCCACAGAAGAGTTTTTAATGATTATCTTAACAAGTGAGCATCAAGAACTAATGATAATCTGAACAAGCGGACATTAAGAAAAAATCGACAAATTTAATGTGTCTCATGTGTCATGTAATCCCCGGTTTTCTGCAAGAACACACCTCGTCAGTTGTCGGGCGCGCCTGACAGGGTGAGGGTCCTTCCTAATCCGGCAGCGCCATCACAAAATTCGAAGCGAACATGGCGAAAGCTGTAGATGAGGACGAAGCCCGAAGGATGAAAACTGATAGCTATTGAGACGTCAATTCCGCTGAATTGTAGCATATCCGACATCTGTCAATTCTTTGTGATTGTTGTTCTGAGGAGCCTTCTTTCCAATTTTTACGTCATGGAGACACCAGATTCCCGTCATCACAACCCTGGAACCATGATCACGACAGCAGAGCCCGATTGCGAAAACCAGCATCATAATGAAGCCATTCACAAGTCATCGAAAGAAGAATTAGATCTTTCCCGCTGGGTATGCGTTGTTGGCTCTTCGCTTTTTCTCGCTTCATCCTTCGGTAAGTACACCTTTCGCCAATTTATCACGATGCTCAAGTACTCATTATTGAATTTACTAGGCTTCTCGCAGTCCATCGGAACTCTTCAGTCTTACCTGCAGCTCAATCAGTTACAAAACTATTCTGCAAGAGATATAGGCTGGATCACTGGGCTCGACACTGCTCTCGCTTTGCTGTTTGGTCTTCAAGTCGGACCTCTGATAGACCTCTATGGGCCCAAACTCTTGGCCCCAGTCGCGATAGCACTCACAGTGTCCAAGTTCTTCTTCTTGGCTGAATGCAAGGAGTACTGGCAATTCCTGCTCTGTCTAGGTTTTCTCAGTGGAATTGGATCCGCCGTATCCTCATCGCTGGCAATATCTTCGATTGGCAAGTTATTCTCTCGACGGCGTGGTTTGGCGATGGGTGCAGCCTTGGCGGGCTCGTCACTTGGTGGAGTCATATTCCCTCTTATTCTTCGTCGAACTCTGCCAGAAATAGGCTGGGCTTGGAGCTCCCGAATGCTTGGGTTCATTATCCTTGGTTTCATGTGCGTCGGGTCCCTGTGCCTTCTGCCGTTCACCCGCCTGGCTATCCCTTTGGCAAACCCGGCCGAGAAGAAGTCCGCAGCCATCACCTTTGAAGCGTTCCGATCCGCCCCGTTTTTGTTCATAACAGTTGAACTTTTCTTGTTCGAAATCTCAATCATCGGGATTGGCGTTCTCCTTCCTACGTTCGCGGTTGAGGCCGGTTTTCCGTCCAGCTCGGGGTTCACCCTCGTTGCCACTCTGAATGGCTGCTCCTGCCTGGGTCGTTTGTTACCCGGCTTTGCGGGAGATCATGTCGGCCATTTCGATGTCATTCTCTTCATGGTAACGCTCACTTCCGTCTTCACTGCGGTTCTGTTTGTTCCTTTCGGCACTAAGTCTGTGGGTGTCCTGTATGCTTTTGCCGGGCTATGGGGATTCGGATCGGGGTCTTTTCTCTCTATTACACCAGGTCAGAGTCTATCAAACAAGTCATCATGTTTCTGAGCTGACCGTGTTCTAGTTTGCGTTGGGAAAACGTGCGATCCCAAGGATTATGGAAGGTATTATGGTAAGTGTTATACGATGTTCTCGGCATATTTGCTTTTCTACACGTCGTCGAGTCATGCTTACATCGGTCTTTAAGGGACTTGCACCTTTGTTGTTGCTTTCGGTGCTCTAGGCTCCTTGCCCGCTGGCGGCGCTTTATTGGAACAGGTGGGACCATTGGTGGCTGCCGCACTTTACCTTGGTACCGTGTTGCTGGGCGGTGCTTGCTTCTATGTCGCACGCTCACTGTTGATCAAGAAGTGGGTTGTGTTCAGGTCAAACATTTGAACGGAATGCTGGCTGTCTGGTTACGTTTCATTACGTCGTAAAGTTTTCGCTGCTCAACCTGGGTATACCTGCTACAAATCTCTATAGACATTTGAAATCTCAATGATGCTCGTAATGGTATCCCTCCGCCAAGTTGCTGGGTCCGGACCACGCGCAATCTCGAGACTGCGGCTTGCCATGTCCATATTCGACGAGCGACTGTTGCCTGCTTCCACGTCCGATCGATCACCGTGCGACGTACTACCCTCCCCCGCCACTTGCTCCGCTCCTACTGCCAGTCTCTCTTGACTGTCCTTCCCGACCACCGTAACCTCGGTACGAGTACCTCGAGTTACGTTCGTTATGTTCGTAATGTTCGTAATATGTGTGAAACCCATCTGCGTTAAACTGTACGGGTCCGGCTTCTTTTGATTCGACATCCCGCTGCTCAGCTCATTCCCTTCGGACCCTTGGCTAGACTTTGGCGTCCATCGGATCCTCGTCTGTTGCCAAAATCTCTTCTTGAAGATTGGGACGACCATCGGCGCTTGACCGACGAAGATGGCCACGAAGTCTTCTCGGATTGACCACATAGCGCCAGGCCCGAACTGTCCGGTAGGCTGTTGAGAGAGCATGGTTAGATCCTGACGGATGGCAAAGGAACTTGGGTGGGACTTACGTGAAAGATAAGAATTACGCGGATGATGGCGGCAGTCATGACGAAAACTCCAAGACTGAACAAGAAATATACACCGAGTCTACGCCATATCGAAGCACGAACGAGGCTGATTACCTACAAAGTACATCAGCACTGACATGACCAACCACTAGCTTCGTTGCCCTTACTGGTATAGGAATGAGGATAATACACATGTCGGTCGTCAGGTTGAAAGCTAGGATGCTGTAGAAGTAGACCTTATTCTGCGGGACGCAATTTTCTGGGCGCTTGGTCAGCCGTACTTGTTTGTCTAAATTCAACCTGACATACCTCCAGGGTCTGGTCGTATTTGCCACATCAGAGTTATTGGTCGGCAGGTCAAGAAGATGATGAGTACCATCGCGATCGCAGTCGCTCCAACCAGGCCCATGACGGGAAAGATGAACTTCTCTACCCACTGCCCTTCGACTAGTCGTCGGTAGAAGAACAACACTGTAGCAGAAACGTCAGTTGGTACTCGTAGCGGAACTGGAAGTGTACATCGTGTCTCGTACTGTTGAATTTCAGGGTCCAAACGATCGTCGCATAACAACACATCCCCACCACGAAATTCTTCGACCCATATTCCCATAGGTAACTAGAGATTGCAAAACATCAGCGTCTGCGGTTCTCTTCAAACGAACACAATCCAAGGTTCTGGTACACGTACAATTCGGATTCCGGCATCATCTCTCGCTGCTCCGGTGTCAAGAGTGAAGTATGTTTTCCTTGGGCGACCAACACGAACATAGTCGCCATAGTCGATACCGTCGTGTATACAGCCTAATATTCGACAAGTCAGTCCCCAGTCGTACTATGCCTCACGAAATGCTCTTACCCAGGCAAAGAAGACGAGATAGTCGTCCGGCCGGAACCCCGAAACTCCAACCATTTTCGTGCGACAGAAAACCCTCAGCGCAATCATCGTAGTCGCAATCGCGTAGAGCGACCAAATTTCGGCGATGCTTGGATTTATCTCCATGACGGATCGACGTTGCGAGCACGCTGCTCTGTTTTAGTCATCGAAGAGTTGTCATCGAATTCACGTTCGTGATGTTAGTTAGCTAGGCAACCTGGGACGCCCTCAGATCGAAAGGTCGGGAGCATGCTCTTTGAATATGCGGAGGCATCATGGTTTGAAACGTTATTTGCTGCCCTGCCGGCCGAATGCTTGTCGGATTTTGAGGCGAGGGTGCAGCAGTAAACTTCGCGGGCTGTGACACCGCCCGAGGTCCACGTACCCGGCTGCTTCACTTAAGCAGAAATTCTGCGAGTCGTGTTTGATCCGCAACGACGGCGACAATGACTTGGCCAGCGGTAACTGCCGCGGTTCCTTTCACATCGCGTGGCAACTTGGCCTGATGATTGATCATGCCGATTACGACCTGGGCTTCCTTATCGCGGCTCGTTATAGCGTGTTCCAAACTCCGAGATGGCTGTATTTACCAAGGCCTTTATTTCAGGAAACGCATGGTTTCGTGATAAAGCGATGAAACGGGCGGTTGACTGCCCGATCGAGTGTATTGTAAGTGTACCAGCGACTTGCACGGTGATCGGCGAAATCACCCCAAGATCATCGAGTTCCAGAAGCTTGGTTCATAATATCCTTCATCCCATGGCTCACGCAACGACTAGAACAAGTGATAGCTCGGCAAAGTAGCGGCCGAGCTCACCATCAACTCCGGCAAACACACCTGTCACCACCACCACGGACCACGTGTGAGAAGGTTGAAAGTTCTCCATTCGTTGGTACATGGTTCAAATCCTGCCTGCTTTAACCCCAGTCGCTGGTTCGGCGAGTTCAGCCACTTTTCTAACCTTATGCATGCTCAAATTTGTCCCATCTGCCATAGAGCTAGGAAAGTGAATGAAGCGAACCCGAACAGCTTAAAGCTACTCCATTCGCGCATTTGAGGAAGTTTCCTGTGAAAGATGCGAACCTTAACTCTCCCAAGACTGTGAAGATACCGCAAATCACCATACTCGAGTGATTGCTGTGCAGAGACTGTTACACTACATGCGCACATATTGATGTTCATCCAAAAGCGATTTGCACCAACTGAGACCTATACGACGTTCGCACATGTCTGTGATGGTCCTCCCCAGAAGTAAACTCCGCCTCCAGGGAGTATCAGACTCTTCTGAACTCTAATCGTTCAAATTCTATCCCCAGACGGGGGAAGTTTCGTTGGGGTTCCTTGTGCAACGTCTACATCTCAGTGAAGCAGCCAATAATCATCGGGCCAATCCGGCGGATGGCTCGCGTCCATACACGCCGAAAGGACCAAGCTTTGAAGCCTGAACTCTGTTTTCGCTGGGCCAGGCTGGACCCTGATCCGAATCCTGGGGATGGGGTGACCAAGAGGACGGACTACGGGGAAGCCCCTCATTCCGCCGAACCTCAACTCCGAGCGTTTTTACGACCAAAGCGCACAAATCATTGACGTGAAGGAAACGTGGAATTTGCGTATGACCCTTCTAGAACTTGGAGATCGTACTGCGCAAGGAACTGCGACCAAACCACCATCTTGGAAAATAAAAATTACATATTGCCATAATTTCTTGTTCGTGGTATTCTTGCCCGATATTGATTCAACAATCAGGAAAGGGATAAAATTACGGGTGTTGCAAGTTCAATACATTCGAACTGAAATTTGAAGGCCAGAGTCTTCCAGCAATGTGTCTAGCCTAAATGCAAATATGCCTATGAACTTCCAGTCCACGAGGTCGATCATTTGACGATGCACATATTTCGCTTGGGCGAAGTACCAGGTGATGGTGTCTACGAGTGAGCCCATTATTGACTCTCTAACTCGCGGGAACACATGGCAACCCGATAACCGCTCAGGCTTGCAAGATAACCTCCCAGATGAAAGCTTGCGTACTGTGGAACACACTCCGAGATCTTCCCGAGACAGGTATGTTGGGCCGTTTGCCAGCCTAGCCCTGCCACTTCGTGCGGCTTTCCATGCTACCACATTCGATATGCTTAAGGCTGGTAAATGCATCTTATCTGCGGCAGAAATTTCGGACTGTTGACCAAATATCTCAATCACGACTGAAACATTGACATGGCATGGTCTTCCTTCTTCTCCTGACAGGTCCCATCCATTCTTCAAAATGGCTCTCGGGAAGTTGTTTGAGAAATTGGACCAACGATAATCCTAGAAAACCTGGACTTCATTGCTTGTTCTAGAACTGGTCAGTGAACCATTGAAAAATATCAATAACTTTAAGCCGCTGGCCCTTTAGAAGTATTGTAGTCGCCGAAAAGATGGACCGAGTCGAACCATTGGATATAGTGTCAAATTGACGTCCACACCAGCGAGATTGCTTCTGTCCTCCCTGAAGACGCCTCTATGGTCCACCAAGAGCCCAGGGACGACAACATAGTCAGAATATTTGGTCCTTGATAGGAAGCTGAGCGTTAGCTACAAGAATCCGAGCCTAATTGAACGGCAACATCCATGTTTCTTCAGTACTTTGCTCATATCCAAGACCAAGATTTCCACTCTGAAGAGACCAGCGGCCAAGATAATCTTCGCGGTGAGCAAGTTCGCAGAATACTAAACTTTATCATCTCGTAATCTATCACCCGAAGCTATGCACAGCCAGAAAATTGAGCAAAAACGGGACACTTCCATTTTTAAAATCGGCAAAGACGCATTTCTGAGGCATTTCCTATTCCTTTGCGACGAATAAAACTTCACATGAGGGTTCCAGCTAGCACAACGTCAGTGCATTTTCTGGCGCTGCGTAGCTAAAGGATCATTGGTGTTGAAATGGGCAAACTTGGATGCGCACAATCTGACAGTATGAGTATCGTCATAGCCTTGTCACTTGTGCCAACTTCTATTGAATCTGGAATAATAATCAAACACCCGATTTATTAGAAAGAAAGATTCTGAAGCGGCTAAGGCCAACCTTTGCCCACATTTCGTGAACACTTATATCGGAAACTGTCATTCAAGGCGGGAGATTGTTTGGATCGGCGGTTGCAAATTTCAATCATACGGGCGCACTGGGCTCTTTTTGATAGTTTTGCTCACAGCAGTAACTGCCATGGCAGACATGTTCATTATTTCTGCGTCTTTTGTTGGATATGTATTCAAACCAGCGCCTCCACAAGGGCAAGTAAATTGACAACGCAAATAACCTAACCAAGCAAAGTGAGGCCATCGCCACTACCCAATCGATCAATCCGACACCCCTCGATTGAATTGAAATATTTGATGTCTTATACTCTAGCCAATAGGAGGCCTTATATAGGCTATAGCCCCACTTATAGGTATGCCCAGCCCATAGGCATACGTGAGGGCATACGTGAGGGGCCCCCTTAGGGGGGGGGGGGGGGTTAAGGGTCCCTCTAAAGAGCCCTGTAAGGGGCCTTCTAAAGGGCCCTCTCTCTAAAGGGGCCCTCTAAGGGCCTACGAGAGGGCTTATAAGGCTGTAGATATCCTCAAAATTACCTAATTAAGTAGTCTATATAACGTCATTTTATATAGTAATTGATTTGTTTTATTTGCAAGTTAGCCAAGTAATCAAAAACACCAAAAAAAAGAGCCAAGTTAACAAGTATGGGGGTCAAAATTGCTTTGATTGCCCTTGTGGAGGCGCTGATTCAAACATAATAATCCAACTATCCGGGCCACGCATGTCGCAGAAAACCGGACAATGGCAGCACAGGCTCTCACAAACGTGATTTTGGGCTGCTGTCTGCATTCATAGATAATGAAAAGAATGATCAGAGACGGCAGCAGTATGAGTTGCATGAGAACCTGTCATATCCTGTAATTACGCCTCTTGAGTGCTCTTGATGTAAGGCAGGTCATGTTCGGCAGAGCTTGCATTGTTAGCGCCGACTGAAGCACTCAACAAAGAGCCTAAGCAAAGTCGTCGTGCGTTGGAGCTAGTAAAAGACACAGCGGTTACATGAAGCAGCGAATAGAGTTTTAGTGTCATGTTGCTGACTGTGCCTCCCCAGAAGCTAGACGGTGAGCGCGGCCTGCAGAAGAGCCTTGGACGAAAACTTACGACGACCCAGCACCAATCTCTAGAGAGCTTTCGGTTACCGAAGGGTAACAAGGCCTAAGGCGCGTTTGCATGTGCAAAGATAATGAACTACCGTCCACCAAAACTCTCGGCAATATCTTACTGGCTGGGGCTGTGCAGACCGAAAGTCCGCAGCGTGCTGCCACCGTGTTAGGGTCTTAACAAATATCTGTTAGACTTCAGGAATGAAACACGACCAATCTTTTCATCCGTTTACTCATCCATTTAATGCACCGTCTGTAGTCAATATGATTTGTTTTGATAGTGATTGATCAATCGTATCGCTCAAATTGCTCCAAGCTTTCTGTCAGATCGGCCGTTACTTCCTCCGGCCAACACATTGAGGGGAGAAGATCAAGTGATATCATACCTACATCCAATTCTGGAAATACGGTCATTGTTAATTCCCGTTCGCCGAAAGAGTAAGCTTTGAAGGTTTCAATGCTTGCTTTTCTGTTCTATCGTGGCACATAAAGTCATCTATAAACCCCACTGCTGAGTGCGCCTCGATTAGACCAGTTTGATCAAGCCTTGCAGAGATCTTTCGTACCAACAAGAATCTTATACTACAGATGAGATAGTACCCTTCCTCCTGATATTTCATCTTCCGCGCGCCATCAAGATTCATCTTTGTCATCATCATGGCTCAGAGCACAACCCACGCAAACGGCGTACAAAACGGAAGCCCCGGACCAGCCCAGGACTTCATCCGCGCTGCCAAGAATGTCACAAAATGCACCTTCAAAGATGAGGAAGAAAGAATGGACACGCTTTCTGCAGCATATGAAGTGATAGGCAAAGTGGAGACTTCATGGGACACCTACGTCCGCATGCTACTGAATCAGGTAGTAACCCCAATCTCCGCGAAGTCCGTCCGATGCTAATCAGACTTGTATTGTAAGCCGGCAACTGTCGGTGTTCTTCTGACTCTGAAGGACTTGAGACTTTTTGAGAAGTGGGAAGAGAACGGAAACGTACCCATGACCAGCTTGCAACTTGCAAACATGGTCGGGAAAATTGAGCCTGCCTTACTTCGTGAGTCTACACATTGCCTAAATTTACGGTATTGAAACTAAGACAATTACGCAAGATCGATTTCTGCGCCTTCTAGCTGCAAACCATCTCGTAGAACAAATCCCGGTTGACAGATTTCAACCGAGGGAACTCTGCATGGAACTCAACAAGCCTTTCGGGGCGCTTCTCGATTACTTGTGAGTCATGGAATTCCAGCGTAGCCTTCGTCATTCTGACTTTCACAGCCGATTCGCTACCCTTCCCATGTACGGTGAAATGCCAAGAATATTGGCTGAGATGGGTTATAGAAACCCTGTTGATGGTACGGATACCTTGTTTCAGAGAGTTAAGAACTACAAAGGAAGTCTGTGGTCCTACTTCAAAGAGCATCCTGAATTTGGCGAATCCTTCAACATGGTACAGAAGGTCTCGACAGGCAAAGAGCAACCGTGGATGGATATGTACCCCCACAAGAAGCTGGTAGACGAGTCGGATCCCAACCTACCTTTATTTGTGGACGTTGGTGGGGGTATCGGCCACGACTTAATGAGGATGTACAACGCCTATCCCGAGACAGCTTCGAGACTTTACCTCGCAGATCTTCCCGAGGTTGTTGCGTCGAATATTGTCCCCGAAAATATCAACAAGGTGGACTACAACTTCTTTACTCCTCAACCTGTGAAGCGTAAGTTGAGCAATTTCAATTACATGTCTACCGAGTTGCTGATCTGGCTGAATAGACGCCAAAGCCTACTACCTACATCACATCATTCACGACTGGTCGGATGAGCCTGCCCGGAAGATTCTAGAAATGCAGAAGAGCGCTATGAAGCCTGGCTATAGTAGACTTCTTATCCATGACCAGATTCTCGATGATGAGAAAAGCCAGATGTCTACAGCTGCCTTTGACATTGCGATGATGGTCTACCTAGCGGGTCAAGAGCGCACCGAGAAACAGTGGTTGGCTTTGATCGATTCAATTGGACTGAAGGTGGTTAAATTGTGGAAGAAACCCCCTGACCACTTCAGCGTTATTGAGCTTGAGTTGCCCTAAGAGGACTACTCTATAACTCTTCTAGATATTTGAGAGCCTTTGTAGAGGGTCTTTCAAACTATTTCTCAATGATTATTTGATTGACTTTAGATTTCTCTGAATGGCGTAACATCAAGATATCAAGCTGTATTATCACGTGGTCCAGATAGTACCGACAAAGTCAGTACATGTATCCATTGGCATCCATTGATGGTCCTGAAACCTGTAATCGTTTTTGATTTGCCACAAATATGAGTTCGTGATATGCCATAGTAATAAATGGTTTCTTGAACTGTTGATCTGCTATGAGTGCATTATTTCCACCGCGTCATTGACTAAGAACTTGCGAACGCTTAGCACTGCTTAAGCAGATTTTGTAATTGGACTATCCGGAACCGCCATGCATCCTCGCAGCCGACAATGTACTGATATAGCTGTACTTACAATCCACAGATGTGGGGCTTGGACCGAAGAAACTAGAAATGCTTCATCTCCACGGCGACCTCTCCCGGGCCTCCCTGCCTTGAGTCGTATATACTCAACGAATTTGTGCTCCCAAACAACCCGCCATCAGCCTCAGGGCCGCCGATATACCTGTCTCCAAAAGCTACAAAGCCATCATCTCGTCGACAGTATGCCTCAATGACACTTGCAATAGGCTTGTGCGGGAAAGGCACCATGATACCCTGTCCGTGATCCTTTCCATCCAAATACATCAACTCCAACTCCTCGTTGCCGCTCCATTCGTACCTCTTCCAATCCTCAATGTCATCTAAGGTCCACCTCACGTCGCCCGAGTAGACATAGCTGGCCACTGACTTCGGTGTCGTTACACAGTCTTCCCCTCCTAATATGACTGTGCTGCGCATTCCGGGCTGAATGCCGTTGCCAAAAATCGCGATCTCATTTGAGGATCCGGAGGCGTAGTATCCGGTCTCCGCGCTGCGGAGACTGGGTGTAAGCATTTCTCTCCACATCAGGGACTCTCTCCAGCAAAGTCTCCGAGCGAGCGTATAGGCTGTTCCGGCATCCGTGGCGCTCGCCCACCAGATCTCCCATTCGTTGCCGTGTCCTGTTCTTCCACGAATAGATGGAGTTGGCTCCCTTCGCGTGAAATTGTAGGCTACATCTGGCAGATGCAGTAACATCGAGACGGGATCTATCAAGATACAGGCGGCGACCCGTGGCGCAAAGTCGGCTCTCTGGAGAAGTTGTGGCATCAGAAGAGTTCCGTAGCTATTGCCAATCAAGACAAAGTCATCCCAAACGCCTCGCTCGCCCTTTCCAGGAGCGGGTTGTGCGGCACGTTGCTGCGCGACGCACTTGGCGATCATTTCAGCCAGCTCAGGGGTGGGCTGCAGCGGGTATGTCGTGACGCGGGTGGCTATAGGCAGCATCTCAACGGCGAGTATCCCAACGTCCTTGGGGATTGTGCGAAGCCAAAACATGTAGGGTATTAGACCAATTCCCAAACCATGGATGAAAACAATGGGACGTTGTGTCTTAGACTTGTGCGGGCGATACCAGTAAGACATGCCGTCGGCAGCGGAACGCCTGAAGGGGATAAGATTGATGAAGCGGAGGGGGAAGACTTTGAAGAATGTTGTGAATGGTTGTTTATAGTGCCGGTATCCCTGTGTTAGGAGATAGAAGGCCATTAAGTTGTCGAGGAAACCGATGACCTGAGACCATTGGCATTAGCATCAAATTGGCAGGACAGTATCTGGGTTTCCTCCTTTGTACACCGTGGCAATCACTGCAAACGGGGGTTAAGACGCTCACATACCACATAGTAGAACAAACTGCGATGTCTGATGATCACCGGATCGAATGTAAGCCTCAACGCCTCTGCGTTACCTCTCCCAGGCTTCAACTTTATCCCAAATTTCTCTTCGGCATCGTCGATGTATCGCTCACACTCTTCGTCAATCTCTTGGGTCGGCCTCTCGGTAGTGCCATCCCTCTCAAAAAGACCCCACAAGAGCCAGTCTTTGAGGTTTTCGCGACGTATGTCTTCGATGTGAGCGTTCAGCATCCATTTCCGCACAAAGTCTTCACCGTCTGGCACCAAACTCAGGGCCTTGTAGAAGAGCTGTGCCCGTTGCGATCGGCTCATCGGTGGTGGTCTGTAAGGCTTGAAGCTTTGGAGGTACCATTTGTAAGGCAGAAAGAAAAATAGGTAAAAGAGTATCTCGATCGCTCCTATCACCTCAATGACGATGGAGAATGGATGGACTATGGCTGGCACGCCGCCTAGTGCGAATATCGCGTAGAAGTATGTCAGACATAGAAGCCCCAAGTCCTTCATCAAGACGATGAGGATGCGTATGGCTATGTATTGTGGCCATGTTTTCTGGACGATCATTTTGGAACGGAAGAGATTTTTCGAAAGCAGATCAGAGCGCCTCGTATGCGGTTTGTATTGTCTAGACTTTCGATCGTATCGTCGGTTTACGTAGCGCCGTAGTGTCAGGCTTAACGAGCCGTACACTGTGATTTTTCTCGCATTTGAGGGTTGCCGCTAAAACCTGACCGGATCTTTTAGAGGGGAACCGTCGACTAAAAAGGCCGTCGAAAACGCGTCACATCCAACCCTCTTTGCAAGTTGCTTACTTGTTGCAAATCCGGCCGAAATGCCAGTGACGTGTAACGGAGGCAAAGAATCAGACGCGGCCAGGGAGGAAACTTGAAAGAAAACGACGCTTCCGTATCCGTGTCGAATAAACGGCGGATGAGGGGTCCTTAACTTGCCATCGGGGTGGAGTCTGATCGGCTGTCAGTCTTTGGCATTTTGCATGATGATGCCGGCCACGGTAGTTTCAAAGCCACTGCCGCACAACGGATGAGCTGATGACAGCTTTCGGGACCTCGCCGTGTCGACGACTAGCGTCGTGTCTGCTGTCAGCCTGCCGTTGTCACCGAAGATTACATGAGCCTTCCTAGGGGGTCTTTGTCCCGGCCGATAGAAACGTAAAACAATTTATAGTTCAAAAGACAAAACAGGCAATCGAAGAGTTGGCCCTAACAACGAACAAGTTCGGCCCAAACCGAGCATGTCGGACCTTGCCGGCATGGATGGCTGTCGGCTGCGATTGTATGGCCAAGTCTGGAGGCTGTCTTGGAAACAAAAGGCTCTGGATTGGATGGGAACGTCCCAACTTTGTCCGTGTCGGTGTCATCGTTCATGTAACATCCAAGTCCGGCCGTGGGTCATCCCTGCGTCTGCGAGGTCTGAGCAACAAGGTGGCTCGGTGAGCGCATGGATCGCAGCCTGCGGGATGAAAGACCGTGTTCGTTCAGCGAGTTCGCATTATGGGACAAATTTCCCCGCCGTCAAAGGGGAGAAAATCCACATGTTGATTCCCTTGGCCCATTAATGACACCGCGGCTGAATCTCAACATGTGGTCTTCGACGATCCAGCCCTCGCGTCCAGTAGGCCAGTGGGCCCAGAGGCTCAACTCGCCGCATCTTCTTTCAGATTGAATGAAACAGATCTCAATAAAGAGATCGCAAAATCTGTGCCTCGGTTCTTTTTGGTTCAAGACAACTGCAGGCTGCAGTACAACGATGTATTGCATGCAAAACATATTCCTCTAATCGGCGATCGGGTGCCGGCCTTACGATAAGCCTAAGGGTTCTTCTGCCATCGCATCCTTTATTGGATCACGACATCTTGATCCGTGGGTTTTAACCTCTTGGTTTTTAGTTAGGCTTTGACAGGTCACATCAACATCTTGCATGCAAAGCGAAAGTCTCAGTCGCATCCAATTTCAGAAAATTTTGGTAAAGCAATTAATGTCTATTAGTTTTTTCTATTCTATCCGCCTGGCTTTTGTTCGCGCTGGGTATGTAGGGAGCTTTCCAATTAAGCAATAGGGCAGTTGATGTTGCTGCATAATAGGTCAGAGCCCGCTCGAGTAGTTGGGGAACATTCGTTATAGCACTTACGTAGCGTCGTGGCCAGTGATGCCGAAAGGAGCCTTTCCATCGACGGTGCACTTGGCGAAGACACCGGGGACGAGCTGGCTAGAGGTGGTACCGCAGTCAAGGTGCCAGGTCTTGGTCTTGCCGGGGATGTCCTCGTCGTGGCCGACGCTGATGTACTGGTCGACAATGCCGTCACCAGAGAAGTAGCTGGTTGATTGTTAGTGGCCGAATATACACAAAATGATAACAACATGGGCATCACAGGAAGTGAGCATGTTGCTACTGAGCCAACTCACCAGCCGTAGATGACCTGGCGGCTCTCGAGGGCGGGGGCAGCCTGGGCGCCAGCCACAAGAAGGGCGGCAGCGATGGTGGTGAAGGCACGCATTGTGAAGAGTTGTAGTTAAAAAAGGTTATAAAAGAGTGACAGTTGTATAAAGAACTCGAATTGTTGTAACGACGGTTGTGGTTGCAATACATTTAGTCAACAGAGCGATGAACACCAGGCTTCTTATACATAGAATCGGCGCTTATGTTGCTCGTATTTCGAGGATATCTTAGCATTTGACTTTCCCCCTTACGAGTCCACAGTGGATGCAACGCGACTTTAGCAAAGCTTGCTGTTGTCATGCCGAGATCGACGCTGAGCAACTTCGACCATACAGCTGGAATTGATTCCCGGGGAATCCGAGTGCAAAAATAGCTTGGCAACGGTTCATCCTGTCCCGAAGGCGATTAGTGTTTGATTATGTCCTCACTGCCACCTGCAGTGGGGAAGTTTAGAGAAGTATAATTGAATGGCTAATCTTGATCTGGACGTGACATCCTTGACAAGTCAAGCGCAAGCGGCGGCGACGCTTGCAATTGATACATTTGGGCGCAATGAAGGAATTATAGGATCAACAAAACCAGATCACCAACAGCTGCATCGATTTATTCATATCTAACAGCTAGCCTCCGACACATCAATTGAAACCAGTTCACTCGTGTTCGTGTCATGTTTGGGGTGATCCTAAGGTTTCGAACCCCTAGGAACGGGATGTCGGGGGTTTGAACATGACTCAGTGAGAAAGCTTCCGGCTTCTCCCAAATTGAGTTTTGCTCAAGCACATGCGGGTGACTCCGAGATCTTCATGAGCAACAATATGCGAAAATTGCAATTCGTTGTCAACATCTCCGTTGCGCGACGGAAGGTCTTTATTCACCGCCGGCCTCTTGTATGGATGGGTTTACAAGTCTGGGATTGCGTGGTATTCGGCTTGAAAGGTCATGAGAAAACAGGGCATCGATACTCATTCAACATTCCAAGCCTCAAGTTAACTTTTCGTGGTTGAATACGCAAACTCTGAGCCGGAGAGGCCGGCAACTTCCACGCCGACAACGCCGATATGGAAACACGGACGGACAATTTGAGAGTTGAGCGATATCTATGGTGCAGAAAGTGCGAGCCATTGACATAGAACGTATGCAAAAAATGAAGACACAGAACGAATTAACTCTCTTATTATCATTCACTAAAACCCACAACTCTCTGGATTACATGTCTCTAACTCGGGAGATCGAAGACTATTCCGTAACTCGGGCTCCGAAGGTGGCCGAATCTTTCTTCCCTTCTAAGTTTTCTTCTTCGCAGTTTGCTACCTAGAGGCGCACCTTGTTAACTGCTATATAACTCTGACGGGGAAATATATAGAGGGAGTATAACCTCTATAGCTAACTTATAGAGTATATAAAGGGGATTTTTAAGCTATTTAGCTAAGTTAGTAGAAGTAGCTCTTTATTATACTATAGTTTATATTTAAAACCCTCTAAAATAAATCTTATATATACCTCTTATTTAATTAATATAGCTCTTATTACTAGTAATATTAAATATTTAAAAGAGATTAGTTTACTATATATTTAATAATAGCTTAGTTATATCTTTATAGTTAAGAATAATAATATAGTATCTCTATACTTCTTTATAATATATATTAAGCTCTTAGAAAACTTTTAGAACTAAACTTTTTATTAAATTAAATAAAGATTTAAAAAAATCGCTAAGAACTTAAAAAATAAGAATAATATAAGGGAGATTAATAAGATATTTAATAAAAAGTATAGCGAATAGCTTTAAGAACTAATTACTATTATTACTTTTATCTAAGTTATAATATAGTAGTTAAGAAGACTAGCTTAGGTTAGGGTGGAGGAAAAAAGGGTCCTTATATTCCCTGTAGTTATACAAAAATTTACAAAAGAATTCTTCACAAAATGGAAGGTGGCCGAATTGAGAAAGTGGGGCCGCAATCCGGTCCTGAAAGCGAAACGCAAGGTCGGCAGCGAAGGTCATTCTCATTTGCAGTGTAGATAAGCTCGGACCATTGGCGTAAATATTCAGCATGGACTTCTTGTTACATTTCAAGCATCGGCAATGCAACAGGACTAAGGGCTGAGCTAAGATATATCACGTTGGCAGCGATTGCAGGAACTCAATTGAATAGTCACCTAAACTACCTACTGTTGAAAACCCCTGCTTCCTTCAACTTCCTCCGAAATTTCAATCAACTGTTCCACGAACTTCTCCACCTCGGTTATGATCGCAGAATGGCCCCCAGGATTGCGCAACAACCTCTTCAAGTTCGGAATTGTGGATGCGATCTTCAGCTGAAGAGCTGGCGAAAGGCAAAGATCTTTCTCGCACAAGATGTAGTAGGTCGAAATGTTCAAATCTTCCATGCAAAATGTGACAGGTCCAGCGAGAGCCGCCAACGACTGTGGCTCCCACATACCCATGTACTTATTAGCCATCTCTTCTGACATATCAGGCTTGTAGAGAACGTTTTTGGCAGCCGGTTTGCCCACCACAATTCCATTGATAACGCTCGTGATATCCAGCTCAGAAGACATAACATCAAAAGCTCCACCACCTCTTGCCGCGGGTACGACTATCGTGATGAAGACGACAGCAGCGATACCGCCTCTCTTCCCATTTGCCTTTCGGTCTGCCGTAGAAAACCCTTGCACCGCCGCCACCATGGGTGTTCCACCATATGAATGCGCGACACAGAGAAATTCTCGCCCCTCTTCCGAGTGTGGGGATAGCTCTGACTGGATGTTGCGGGCGTCATCGTCCATGGTAATGGTCGGGTCGGTGCCGAGACTTGGATGACGGACAGCAATTACCGGGAAGAAACCGGCGGCTTCTGGACGGGCCTTGGCCGGATCGAAACACGTCGGTGTGTGGATTCCGCCGTGGGCAAGCAAGATACCCAGCTTTCTCGGGGCTGCGGTGGTAGACATAACAATAATAGACGTGCCGTCGGGCTCACTGCCGTCTTTGTCGCGGGATCGCCGATGAAAGGTATCAGGTTGTTGGGCGAGTCAATGAGATGGCAGAAAAGCTTTGTGGCTGTGTGATGCTCAGTCCTTTTGAACAAGTAGGGAAGAGATGGTCTTATTAGGCACTGGTTTGGACAGCGCTTAAGCTGATGAACGTGCTGTCAGAACCATTTGCCATGAATATGTTTGTCTTTATTCCGAATATGGCGCGTCCCGTGTCTATCATGCAGGGAATGTTGGTTCCAAAAATGACTGCGGACCAGGGTTACCTTTGAGCCCTATTTCGGGCTGCGTCTCTGTCATTGAGATCAGCATGAGGTTGAAAACCCATTGAAATATGGTGAAATCTGACCTTTGCCGTTATTTTGCTATTTTACATGCCGTCAAGGTGCAAGAAATTCAACTTTGCGTGTTTCGCTGCCCCTCCTCTGCCATATAAGTCAGACTCGGACGATTTGAATCCTTGATGTATGGCCCAACCGCTGAGGGTTTCTCTAATAGACAACCAGTTAGCAACTTTGCCCAGATTGCGCGAGGTTGTTCGAGTCTGCAGCTCTACACGTGTGGTGACTGGTTTCGTCGTTGACATTGAAGATCAGGCCTGCCTTGGCTTCGTTTTGTCCTCTTGTTCTAGTTGGGCTGAAGAGTTCTGTTTACAAATCTGCTTGAAATGTCGCGCTGTGACAAGGGCTTTGATTGGGTTTCTGTGCAGTCTTTTTGCGAGACAGCCAATGCGCCTCGCCCTACTGATCCTGTGCTCCTGGTGCCCGTTCCAACAAGAAGCTGCACTATCTTGCCCTGTCATCGCGTGCCGACGTCCAATGGGAGCCTGACAAACAAAATGGTTTCTTGTTGGGCCACACCAACCCTGTCAGCATGTGGCAGTCAAGACAGGGTGATGACAAACCGATCCTAATCCAGACTTCAGAACCGATCGGCCCCCTTTCCTGAATCGGAGCCAAAAGGCGAATCCTGAAATGCGATGAGCGTCTAAAAGACATGGTCTTCCTCGAGTCACCATCTCTTGCTGATGTGATGTCTCCATTGTCAATTCGACGACCCATCTCATGATGGACATCGATTCGAGATCTTCAAGCGAAAGCATTGCGTGGGCTCTAATAGTTCCACACACAATACTCAGTGTTATTGCCACCGTCTCGGTAGGCGCCAAACTGCATTTTGGCCGCGCCAGCGGAGCCCGTTTTAGCCCTGCAGATGGTGTTTGCCTTGCGGCGTTGGTGAGTACGGTACGCCTTCAAATTCTTTCACTTTGACTGACAAAGATTGGCGTTGGAAGTTCTCTAATCATGCGTTCCTCATCACCGAAGGGGCTTGTAAGTGTTCCACTTCATCCAAGAAAAACAAAATGGGATCAAATTCAAACTAACGATTCAAATTAGCCGTTCACGTTGGTCTTGGAAAAGACGTAGCCACGGTTGGGGCTGACTATTCTGGCGGCATGCCTCCTGTGCTCAAAGTAGGTCATTTGGCGTCTGATTCAAATTCTCGTGTATCACTGGATCTGACAGTATTCAGGGCATCACCGCCATGGGCATCGTATACGGCATAGCATGTCCTCTCTCCAAACTTGCGGTCTTTGCTACGTATTTTCGACTCTGCTCAAGTTGCAAAGCACTTCGGATTTGTGTGTGGATTCTATCATCCATGGTATTAGCATGGGGAATTGCCATGTTTCTTGGCACATGTCAGTGTAATCGCCAGCTGCCGTGATTTCAACCAACTAACATTGAAACAGTATTCAAATGCACGCCTGTCCAGGGGTTCTGGGACAAAACTGTCCCAAGCATTTGCTACTTACGCACCGAAGTTAGCATCGCTATCCCAAACATCTTCATTAACGCGATGGCTACTGTGCTACTTCTGGTGGGAGCTGTCTGCCATTTGGAGTTTGGAAGAGAAAGAAATTTGGCCATGGCGACAGTCTTGTTGTTTGGCACTTGGTAAGTGAGCTAGAGTTGCTTTTGCCTTGACTAGTGAACATGAACCCAGAAGCCTGACAATTTGTTTACTCTAGCATTGTGGCCGCTTCCATCGTTCGCCCTATCCTTTTCCATGTCTACCGCCTGGGATTCGGTGCCAGCAATGGCGGCAATGCCACCAACATCAGCCGAGTCATCGTCTACCCATACATCGGGTCATCCATTGAGACATGCCTAGCCATCATCGCCACGAGTCTCCCTACCTGCGCGCAACTCTTGAAACGACATATTTGCAGCAATTCTGAAGACTTTTCGGGTTCCAAGAGCACCGATTGTACCAGCCAAAGATCCGGATACTCTAGGAAGGCACACAGCGTCAAGCCTTCTACCTATTCAAACAGCACTCGCATCACCATAGGCAATACTTTGAAGACCCGAAATACAGGCGGTGTCCTAGCAGCTTGCGTGAAGCACAAGCGCCCCAGGGAGCTTGGCAGCGATGACGACATCGAGGGTTCGTTTGAGAGACTGGAGGATGGACCGCGGAGCTCACAGGCATCCACAGACGTGCTGTACTCTGATAGCCGAGATGTGAGCAACATAGAGGGCATACAGGTCCAGCGAGAATTTCACATACAAGTGGACCGTGAGTCGAGGGTAACGACTGGAGATATCAAGAATTGGGTGGTCGGTGATATCGCTCTGAAGGAATTGCCAAGTCCAACAAGGAAGATGAACAATTAAAGCACAACGTTGTAAAAACACCGATCAATGAAACTGTTTACCTATACCTAGGATTTCTTGAATCAGTTGAAGTTTATGATGAAACGGAAAGTTCAAAGGTCTGGTGGATATACCTTGCTCCTCTTCTGCCTCGTCCATCTCTCCGCCAAGGATGTTGTATGGTACGCATTCGTATGGTCCGATCAATCATGAATTTCAAAGAGCAAATGTCTATTTTGGATCGGATTCTCTGAAAGCTCGGAAAACTGACAAATCCTTCACACCACCTAGTCTTTTCATGCGCGTTATGATACTCAGAGTCCAGCAGCAGCTCTCCGGGTGCGTTTACGACGTCCCATCTCAGTGGCCTCTTGCTCGGCATTCGAATCTTCAAGCGAGTGCTTTTCTGGTATTTGAGGGCTAGCTGTTCGAGATTCCATAATCTTGATTGGTATAGAGATTCCGTATGTTCCCTCCATATTCTTGTAAAACCCAGCAGCGCCAATAATGTCCATTCTATTCCGCAGGCGAGACCAGCCATGACCATGGTCAAACCTTCGGACATTGAACTGCCAGTCTGGCAGTGTAGTCTTCATGTACTCTTTCAATGCGGGATTCCATGTCGCTAGGTTTGGATTTAACACAAAGGCCATGAAGTTTCCGTACGAACTCCATTTCCGGTTCCCTGGAACGGCGGCCTTGGACACTGCGTAAACCACGCCCAGTGTCTCCCACTCACCTTGCTTCTTCCAAAAACAACGGGTGGCTTCATGCTCCATTGGAGAAGGGTCTATGTTTCCACATGTTGCCATGCGACTGGATACGCGGAAGATTGGCGACGAAGGCTCAATGAAACCTGTCTTGTGCTTCGTGTACATCATGGATATGAAGTTATGCGCTGCACCTTCCCAATCCAGGATGATACTGGCATGCCTCCAAATAGTTACCCCGTTTTCTGTCATCTTGCCTGCTTTTTCGATGTTGACGAAAGTCAAGTCCAGAGACCTGTCATATAGGCCGAGCACGTCTGTCGAGAGAGAGTGTCTTTCGACGCAAGCAAAGAGGACGTCGATGGGTTTTCTCTCACGAAGTGCTGTCAATCTTGGAAATAGGTCGCCAGTCAAAGTAGGGAATTCTCCAAGCCGATCCTTTAGTGGTCTCTCGGGGACAGTTTCTTGTAAGACTTCCGCTGCATCAACTGAAACGGCGATGTATCCCAGTTCGAGTGTCATTTGCCATTGAGGATTCATATACGCTGACATGTGGGCAACCATGAAGAACATCTCGTCTGGGGCTTGCGTATCCAGGTCTTCTCGGTCCTTGCCTGTCCAACTGAGTTCAAGCGCATCAAGGCTATCTCTCCTGACAAGACAGGCTCTGCCAAGAAGATTCTGCAATTTTCTTCTCATTTGGCTGAATTCTCTGTTTGACGTCGTTGAGTCAATGAAATATTGAAGGTTGTCCATTGTAATGTAGAGAGAAATGAACCGAAGCCAAATATGGCGGGCGTCTCTAAGGAAGTGATGCCCAGTAAGTCCAGCGTGATATGCGCTCACTCTCATCTCAGATGTCTCTAGTGAAGAAATGTTGAGCTCGCTGGCTGGACTGCTCTCGCTGCTATTATTCCACTGATCGATACGGCCGATCGTGGAGAATATGTCGGTGTCATAGGTTAGACTCCTCGAATTCGATACTGCCAGCGATCTGAGACATTGAATGATTGATTCGCGGTATATGTCTCTAGCCCAGTCGCAGATGTAGTCAACGATGAGCAAGAGTTGAAGTGCGTCGTCGACTGAATCCAACGATCCTTGTAATCAGCTGTAGGGTAAGGTCAGCGGAGAGTGAACTAGAATAGGTACCACAAATCCGTTTCGAATACCCTTAACTCACAAATCTCTGTGCTGTACTATTGGTGTCAATGTAAGCAATCGAAACCCTCCAGCATTCCCCTTTGTTGGACAAGAACCACACCAGGGGTCCACCCTCCCAGTTGTCCTCTCGATCTGCAGCTTGCCAGAGTCCATCCTGAATGAGCAAAAGACGTCGGATCGCGAACGAAGTTTGGACTTCTATGTCGGACCACGAGCTGCCGCTCTTTTCGGACTTGGCCTCTGAGACCAGGAACGGGAAAAGAAGTGGCTCGCCATCGGAATGGAAGGGAGTACTGTTTACACTGCTTCCGATGAAACAGCCGTCAGCATCCGGCCGACGATCTTCCAAGTCAAGGATACGTTCAATCCGTCTGGTTCTCCGAAGACCGTAGACTCTATCTGGACGTTCCTCGCGTTTTGGGAACAGCCGCCGGAGGCCTTCCTCAGGGTGCACGATCGCTTCGTCTGCACGGTCGTCGAAAATCGGGTTGATGCCCTGCTCGACCCTATATTCCCTTAAGTAAAGAGTTATCGGAGTGAGATATCGCGCGCTTACGGGTCTTCTCTGTGGCTCTGTGAGCGGCAGACACAAGGTGTTCGCCTTTCTTGACGTTTCTTCAAGTTCTTCGCTCGCGAGTTTGGATTGTTTCCTTGGGAAGAGTTTGAGCCGACTTCCTGTTCTGAACGCCACAGCCTTCCGCGGCATCTCCGGCTTTGAACCGTCAAATGTCAGTGAAAGCAAAAGTCACCTCTGTGTACAAATCTATTAGGAAGACGAGAGCTCACCATCCAACCTCGACGCTGAATCTCGCCAAGACATCGGGTTCCAATGTCAAGCGCCAACCCATTTCACTTTTCCGTGCATCACGGCATCTTTGCGCACTCTCGATAACCCTTTGGACGCGGCTCCGGACCTCTCGTCTCCAGGGACGCTCACGTGAATCTGTGTCGATGCTCTCATGATACTTCTTAAATTCGGTCTTGCCCAGCTGACGGATGTCAGACACAGTGGACGAGTGATTTTGTGGATACAACTCTTTTTCAAGGGTTTCAATTGGCTGAACGAATCTTATGTTGTACGTTGCCATTAGACGCCTTTGTATGGCTATGGGATTGTCTTGTTTAGGCATGCTCGTGTAGGTGTTTTTCTGTCCAAATAAACAAATGTGCAATATGAACTTGGATTTCCTCCAGGACTAGTCATGACCACCCTCCCACCGTAAGAAACCAGTGTGCTTTTGAGCCAGCAAAGCATTCTGCAATTTGAGTAAATGGAGGCCTCTTCACCTGTCTTATTAGGTTACCTTGTCCTATTGTTAGAAGTCGTCGGTTGGCCGGCGCTTACAAGCGACCTCGAACAGAGACCGGCCCATGGTCCGACCAACATCGTCGGCTAACCAACCTGCCTCATTGGCTCACGCCTCAAATACAACCCCTTGAACTGTTCTACTTCTTTTGGCGGTCAAGGCAGTGCCTATTCACACGGAGAACGTGGCTTTGCACGGGCACCCATCATCGCCACGAGACTTGCCTAGCCAACATGGACATACATCTGTTGTTGGCCTACGAAGAACACAATACGACTTTATTGAGACAGTACATTCAGACAGAAATCAGAAGCAAACCGTGCTGCTTTTCCTGCACCACAATGTACCTCAGGGGAAGGCCATATGCAATGATCAGCAAGTCTGCCTTGCCAAGCATATTGTTCGTCCATGAAAGAATAGTCGGGATGCATTGCAGCGCTAAGCATAACGGCCCGTTGCGCCTCGAAATATCAAGATCGGGTGGCTCGGATGTCTTGGCATCTTGTCGACTGCACATGACGTGATGCATGCCATCGGACTTGCATCTGACCGGCGTCACAATGCTTTGATGGAAGGCGCGTGAAGTCACGCAATATTGATTTTTCCGAATGACATAACATTATCAAATCAACAAGACACCCACCACGTAGATAGAGCGAAACCGAGTAATCATAAGCTCAGAGTTGCGAGCAATACGAGTGTCAACCCAGAGGGCTGGGTCCTGGCCACAGCGATCAACAGTTCACAAGAAACATTAGTGCCACCCTTTAAAGTCTAGAATTTCTGCGCATGTCGGCTCGGAAGATAGCGTCCGTAACTTACATCTGCAGGGCCGGAACATGACGTCCATAGGCAGAAGAAACAAAGGAGCTATGGCGATAAGGATCCTTGACGTAGCTTTAGCCGCACGGCTTGCTGACGTTCAGAAAGCATATCGCATAGCTTCGCAGGTAGAGACTAGAGTAAAGGCATGTCGAGAGTTCATGGGGGTGGGGGGCAACGTGTCCCGCGCGCCGCGCGGGCAGACAGGCCGTCAAGTCAAAAAAAGAAAAGCATCATTGCCTCCTCTTCCCTTACGCTTGCTATGCTAGAACCTGCTGGGTCAAACGTTAAGCAAGCAGGGAACGGCCGCAGCCACAGCCGCGATGAGGCTCTGGCACACGCGGCCCAGAAAGTTTATGTATTGGTCCCTTTGGTCGCGTTCGTGCGCTGGTCCTCACCCAAGCCTCACAGCCCGCTGGTGTACCATCAATGTCTTCACCTTATTGGCACAACGCGGAAGCCAGCGTGTGAATCTATAGCTGAAAGCGCTTACTGTGATCCAGCCTGATGTGCCGCGTTTCCCGCCGGCGCGTCCGAGTCTCCTGAACCAGGCTCGCAGTGCTGTTTGCAACCTCAGCTAATGGCATTGGAACACGATGAAGAAAGTTTCCGCTGCCCGCAACTCTACCCATGGGCCCTGTCCATCAGCCATCAATAAGCGGGCATCTCGGTGCCGTCGTGGTGTCCGACGACTCGAACCCATTGGACCGCACGTCGCAAGCTCAAAGCTCTGCATCAACATTGGACAAACAAAATGGTGCCCGTCAGCCGGTCGGCGAAGTCGCATCTGCTTCCCTCAACTGTCAGGAGAAATTCTTTCAAGCTTATCGGAATAGGGCAGGTTAAGACAAGCAACCCGGTTCGTTGTAGGGAGACCATTCCTGCCGGGGAATTTATGATCTCCGAAGAGTGCTTGTTTTGGTGGATCAGATCGGCCAGGTTTGAAACGCCAGGAACCGGCTTGCCACGTGGGGGTTGGTCGGTTTTTTCTCTCTCTTTTCTTTCTTCGTACTACTCG